TTTGTTTCAAATAGGTAGTTATTGCTCAAAGACACTCACGTGAAGGGTAGCCTCCATGGTTACTAGGTTGCAGCATTATGGGTTACTGTCCCTCCACTATGAAATGCCATTACCTCCGCTGTGAAAAGAAACACAGTACATTAAAGGATTTCCTTTCAGCGTGACACCCTCATTCTCCATTTGAATGTTACTATGGGCCAAGTCTGGGATGCTACTCAGGGCAAGTACAGTGGTTACACTAAGACAGTCCACTGATGACACTATATGACCAAAGGGTCAGCATCTCACACTGTGAAATGGTTCATTATCCAAGTAAATTAACCACACATGGTGCCACTTCTGTCCCTTTCCCCTCCAAGACAAACAACAGGTCTGCTTCTTGTCCTGAGCTCGTTGCTGAAGCCTATCGTCTTTCCATGTGCTCCATGAACGTAAGTAGAGCTAGATCCAACCAAAGCAGCGCCCTTCCAGACAAGGACATTCCTTACACTCAGTACAAACTTCTGGGGACAAATATCCTCCAGAAAGTCAGCCCTTCAACTAACTCACTGCTTGTAAGGGAAACACTTGAGCTCTTGAGACCTATTTTACAATTTTTCAGTACTTACTATGGGAAATGCAATAGCAAGCTACCTGAAAGAAGCCAGAGTATCCCTCAAGTTCACCTAGGAAAGATACTGCAGCTGTGCAGCTATCTTGTAACCTGGGAGAGCATAGCAGAGGCAGTGTGTTGAATTTTATGGAAAATCAGTAAAAACAGGTTGGGCAAGCAGCACTGGAAACGTCATAGGGACTGTTGATCCTACCTTGGGACAAGAGGAGAGACTAGACATCGTGTTGCAGAAGCTATTCTGAATGATCAGTTCATGGTTTGATGAAAGTTATCATCGCTTAGAGAAATCAGAGCAGCGGAGTTATAATGCTTTTCACTGAGAAATTGCCGAATTACCTTTTTCACCATCCCAAACAATGTTCTCTACTTTGTATGTAAAGCAGAACTCTTACTGTGGCTTTGCTGACATTTTGTTCTTATTCCACCCTTTCCTTCCCCCCACCACCCAAAAGCATCATATCACTTGCAACGGTGCTCTGAAGAACACATCCCTTTCATCTGGTGTTCTTCCAAATGCTCATCAGTCCGTGATGAAACACAGGTTCTTCTGAAGACACTTAGGAGTTAATTGCCTGAAAGGGCTGGTCCTACAGTAGGAGGATTCTACTTTGTAGCCCAGCTGCCTAAGGGCACAGAACGTGTCCTGCCGGAGCCAATTTTATTGAGGACAGAGTGCCTAGACTGGCTACAGCTAATTCAGCAGTTAGGCAAAGATCTCCAAAGATACTAAGTTATCTGAGTCGATGAAAATGGCTTGGGAGAAACAATAATCTTTGTTCCCTCTCTGGGAGAAAGATTATATGATGTGTTCAAGCCTTGTTTGGCACCAGAGGGTCCCTCCCTCACAGAAGCTGTGTCAATTCTGAGTGACTGAGGTAGAATAAGGTGATTTTCATGCATTGTGCTGCTCACAGAAAAACAGATATAGGAGCCTGTGTGTAATGTTAGTTAACATAAATAAAATGAAAAGCAATAGCAAAGACTGTTCCTGAGAGTGTATGTTGAAAGAAGCTGGACACCTCTTCCTCTTCACCCTAAAAGATTACATTCGGAGCAACCCCTCAGTTGGGCAACAGTACAGGTCAAGGTCTGCCACAGCCTCAGGGAACTGGAACACCCAGGTCTCAGCTAAACATCCTAACCACGGATTTGTAGGTACTTAAACTCTCCTGCTGCATGTGTATTTTGGGTTTGTGAATTTAACCGGAAGATCTTTTTCATCACAAAGATTTCCCCACTTCTGAAGCACTGCCAAATCAGCGCTTAAACACGCTCTACAATACATGGTGCCAACTCATGACACTCACGGCTGCTATCCTGAAGTGCTCATTGTGTTTTGACTTCCTTTTATCGGCACAGGCTTCTGCCAGTGAATCAGTCTGCTAGTGGAGACTGACCAGGAACTGTGGCAGAAGACACAAGCAAGGCAGTCAAAGCAGAGGTAAGTTGCTCATGCATGTGTGTTCATAGTCTTTTTCTCTGTTGCCTGTCTCCTTAAAGATGTTCAGCCTTGCTTCTGTGCATTTGCTTGTAAGAATAGACAGCTTTTTGCCTCTCTGACCTGTAAGTGTATGGCTATACACAGAAATGCATACTTGATCTTTAGAAGACAAAGTTTGACCTCCACAAAATGAAGAAAAAGAGCAGCTACTTCCTTTTCTTCTACTTGTTTTCCTCAGTCCGAGAACAAGGGAATGAAAGTCACAGTATTGCAACAGTGTGTGCAGAAATTGGACTGCCTGCTCTTGTATTTTCATGTACATGTATGTTTTGTTTGCGAGTAAGGCAGAAGATTCTCACATGCATTGAGTCACAGTTGCTTCTCTGGTTGCTTTGCATATGCCTTACAGCTTATATGAAATAAATTTTAGACTGCTTAAAGCACAAGCATAGGTAGATGATTTTCTGAAGGGCTTGTATCTTAGTTTCACAAAATCTCCAAAGCGCCTAAAAAACTTTCAAGGGCATTTCTCCCTCTGACCTTTTTTCTGCTAAGTATGTTCTTTCACAACAGTTTGTGATGCCCAATATTTCCTTATGACTTTATCTCACTAGATAAAAATGCCAGTTCACAGCTCCTAACTGTCAAATGTTTATTACTGAAGCTTAAGGGAAGGTGAATACTTGGAAGTCCGTGAGCCATGCCAGCTAAGCCAGGTGTTCACAGAGTACACTGAGAAAAGTTTGCCCTAAGAAGAGAAATAATTTAGCCTCTGCATTGCCGCAGCTAGTCTTGGTAGTGATTCAAAAACAAGCTGAGACATTAGCAGAACTTTTTCTTTCCAAAAGAGATTCCCCATGCAGGGGAAGAGAGGCATATTTTACTCCTATTAGAACAGAGTAAAGCAGCAGAAAGCAAGAAAGAATGTTGTGCTGACTGAGTATGTAGTTGTGAGGCTTCCTGTTTTGACAATAAAGATTAAGAAGTATTTGTTTTACAAAGAGAATTGAACGGAGTGTGTTTTGATGCCAAGATTAAAGTTTTGGGTGTTTCCAAACTCTGCTTCATTCCAACTGTTTGATGACTCAGGACATTTGACTTCTTTAAATTTGTTCAGTCAAATATAAAGGTTAATTTGAAGACCAGAAAAGATTGAAACTCCTTCTCCTATAAGGAGATTTAGAGACCGCAAAACACTCTTGGTTGCCCCTCTATCACTCCTACAAATCCTGCTCATCTTCCCCATTACACGCCAGGGAATACTCTCTTCTTTTCTCTTGATTTGTAGCTGCATTTCCAAGTCCAAATAAACTTCACAGAGCAGCACGTCTCGTCATAGCAAATGTCTTATATTAGAAGAAAACTCCAGAAACATGTAGCTGCATGAGAACCTCTGTTCTTCATTAAAAACTGGATTTTGCACCTCCAGTGGGCCGAGCAATGCCTGGTTTCAGAAAGACTTGTTTCCTGAGTCTGCTTCACTTCCTAACGCAAACTGTAATACAGGCAGGTCTCCTATGAAATTCTCTCACAAACCATGATGCGCAGTCGTGCATGCTGTGGCTGCTTTGAAGATACACGGACACTGACTAGTTGGCTACTTCACTTTTGCTGACCTCTCAGCTGGCTTCAGAACACGTAACAGCTGCCTTAGGCCTGCCTTTGCCCCAGCAAGTCACTAAATTGCTGAATAGTCCTCCCCCAGCAAACAGTCCTCAGGAGCTCCTGCAAACCCCTTTACCTTACAGACTTGTATCTCAGTGCTGAACTTGGCAGATATTTACCAATGACATCAAAAGGTAATTACATGACGGACAGAAAGGTGAACTAACATAAACACACCGCAGTAATAGAAGCATGCCCTCTTCTTTCGAGGAAATCAAGCCTACAAGAGCTACTGGTGAGGCAGTCTTAACAGAATGCCTAGAAGAGCTGAAGACTTACATTGCATTCATTAGGTATGCCTTTCGTCCCATGGATTCTGTTGTTGGACATTTAGGTAGCCAGCCTGATCTTTATGGTCTTTATCCGCTTACAGAATGGCTGCTACTTTTCTCTTCACAGCTCTCATTTGCTCCTCTCTTCCAAGAGACAGAAACTTTGGGCTCAGAAGTAGCAGTAGGAAAAATATAATTATCTGGGGACAACAGAGCCAGTTCTTGAAAGACATGGGCAGCACAGGGCTGGTGAAGAAGCCCAAGGGAATGGTAAACGGAGATCTAGATGACTCAGTTTCAGTATGAAATGCAAGGTTGACTAGGAACTGACTCACAGGGCTTCTGGGGAGCCACACACAGTTGCCTCATTCACTTCATATTTTCAGAGGAACTAATTTCCAACAGAACTTGAACCTGGTCTGGGGCACATCGCCCCATGGTGAAGACAAAGCTGGCACAGATCTAGTGCAAGCACATTCTCTTAAGCCCATTACATGTCCTTCCAGAGTCCCTGAATCACTCCTGGCCCCCACACAACCCCTCACAAGCCTCTTTGACTGATCTCTCACCCCAGCACACCACTGACCAGCACCAAGAATGGCATTGGATTCCAAAGGAGGAGAGCGCAGGTGGAAAGGGAGCCCATCTCAAACTCTCTCACCTCATTCCTGAGGAGACAGGAAACAAACATTGCCTTCTTCTCCTTTCACCTCTACTGCTGGCAGAGGAGACAGATAAAGGCAGACAAGTGGGTGATGGTTTTCTCAGGTACTCATGCTTCTTTGTTTTCGTCACCTGTTCTGCAACTCTCCCTGTTACATAGAGTGAGCGGTGGACAGTCACTCTTCACACAGGTACTTATCCTGGCAGCCCCTCGGGGAACAGACCTTGGGCAACCTTCAGGAGACTCCCCACTTGGGTCTTCTGTGGAATTCCACACTACTGTCTTCCTAACACAAACACCACTACCTGTGCTCTTTCACACAGCCCCAAGACGTGGTGCCTCCTCATGCTGCTCTGCTCCCAAGGAATTGACTTTTTAGCAGGATTCACAACACCCTCCACTCTGAATTCAGACAAAAGCCAGTGCAGGAAGACTCGCAACCCCGAATGCTTTATGAACGTTGTAAGTTGGGTCACTTTTTCTCCCTTTCTTTCTAAAGTGTCTGTCCCAGTACCACTGCCACTGCCCCATCAGTAACAGTCCCTGTCAGGAGGTTAAGAAGGGAGTCCCCTTCCACATTTCTCATTTTCCCAACCTACCTTTTCCAAAACCACTGCATTAGAGCCACCGCTGCAATTAAGGCTGTCTCTGAATGTGCCAAGGACAGATGTGACTCTTGCACATTGCATGAGGACAGACAAGAGACAGAGTCCTGGCTGCTACTTTTGGCTCCCAGCCCAGCAAACTCCCCAGAACCTCATGAGGGGCACTGGAGATTCAGGCTACTGAATTTTGACTCCAGCAACAGGGCTATAAAGATGATGAGTGGACTGGAGCACTTCTCCTATGAGGAAAGGCTGAGGGAGCTGGGCTTGTTTAGCCTGAAGAAGAGAAGGCTAGGAGGGAATCTTGTAAAAGTCTATAAATATCTTAAGGGTGGGTGTCAAGAGGATGGGGCCAGGATCTTTTCAATGGTGCCTAGCAACAGGATGAGGGGCAAAGAGCACAGACTGAAGCATAAGGAGTTCCATCTGAACAAGAGAAAGAACTTCTTTACTTTGAGGGTGTCAGAGCACTGGAACAGGCTGCCTGGGGAGGCTGTGGAGTCTCCTTCTCTGGTGGAGTCTCTTTCCCGGGGGATATGCAAGACCCGCCTGGACAAGGTCCTGTGCAGCCTGCTGTAGGTGACCCTGCTTTGGCAGAGGGGTTAGACTAGATGATCCCCAGAGCTTCCTTCCAACCCCTACCATTCTGTGATTCTGTGACTCAGCCATGGACTCTAGCCAGAGCACAGACTACACGCTCCAGTCCATACCAAACTGAAAAACAGACTTTCGCTGCCTGTGTTTAGGGTGAACCCCAAGAGATATATTATGAACACAAGGCTGGGCCACGCCTCATGATGTTTGTTGCCAGTCACCTTGCACAACACATGTTGGTATTTTGGGATGCTGCACAAAAAAAGGGGGAGTACCATCCTGGTAAGAGGACAAAGATAACTCCAGCACTATGGTAGGGAGCACCAGCCTAGAAGAAACCTTGATGCTCTCATCCAAACAGTCTGAGATGACAAAGAGAAGAATTCTTTTGCAGTGGAGGCAAAGGCTGGTTTCTAGTCTCAAAGGAAGCAAAGTCCTCCGCTTCTCTAACAACCTGTTTGCTCAGTACAGTGGCAAAGGAGGTTGAACCCCTTCTTCAAACAGCAGGTTCTCACAACACAAAGTAATCCAAGATCTTTTGCTCTGAATCACCAAAGATTTCCTCACTGTACATGCAAAATTAGGTGTAGGTGGTCTCATGAGTTCCTTAGTGAAAAGAGCTCCACCCTTGTTTGCCTTGCCTGCATGGCTTGCTTAACCACACTTTGGCAAGAAAGGATTCATTATGGCCCAAACCCCACATCTTCTGGTGCTGTCTTATACAGATACTGCTGCATGTTTACTCTCTAGAAAGGTATGATCTGCATCACCCTTGCATGGCATGACAAACTACCTCCCCAAAAGTTAGTCACTCATTACAGTTCTGCTTTGTCCCATAATATGGGGTCAAATACCAGACAAATATCACCTAAGCAGGTCTGAAGACTTTTGATGCATGTTTTCACAGGACCTGTGATATTTATTCTCAGCCATAATCCCTGTGGCCAAGGGCCTTGAACTGCCATCACAGAACAGCCCACATCTACACTGCTCAGCTTGGTTACCCTCCAAAACAGGACAACTTGCATGTTAACAAACTCTCCTTTGGCTTGTCGCAGAGTGAAATTATCCGATATCATGGATACCCCAGTGAGGAATATCAAGTTACCACAGAAGATGGATACATTCTTGGTGTTTTCAGAATTCCCGCTGGAAGGAACAGCCAAAATACAGGTGTGACACAGTTATAGGATATAAGGAAGGTCTAAGAGCCAGCTCCCACATGGGTCCCCCATCTTTCCCCTTTGCACATGCAATGGCGTGTTCCACACTTTTCCATTTCAGCAAGAGTACCTAGTCAGGAATGTAGCCTGAATTGTGAATCTGTCTGAAGTCCACACATTCAGTGTCTCTGTCCTTATTTCAGACTTTTCTAATGATTTTGTCACAGCTCAGGTTTTTTCCCTCATGTGGGCTGGGGGAGGGTTGGGTAGACTGCATTTGGGGAGGTTTTGCATTAACAGCCTAAAAGTAATATACATTTAAAATAGAAGCCTGACAACAAAGCCTCTCTGCTTAGGCGTATGAATATTAATACCCAGCCTTCTGAAGGACAGAGATATTCTTAAGGAAGCTGATAAGAAATCAGGTCATCAATGAAAATGCATTTCATCTGTGTCATCACATTTTCTGAAAGGAATAAAAATTTCTACCCAGAATTTGAGGTACCGTGGATACTGCTTCTTTATTTATTATTCCTTGTTATTATTATAGAATAATTTATTTTGGATGCCTCCTCCTATTTAGATCTCCTTCTTTGGAGATCACCTGGACCAGCCCCATTCTCAAAGGTTAATCAAAGTTAGATCAGAGGCCTCTCAGCCATACTCAGTCGGTTACCGAATAGACCTATGGGTAGATATGCTTCTTTGGATGCATTGTTCTTTGTCTTCCATACACTGTCATGCCTTCAGCAGTTTTCAGCTGTGGGTAGCTGGTTTCAGCATAAGGTCCTGTAAGTTCTCTTTCCAGTGCAAGAGGAGGTAGATATAGGCCTCCTCATTAAATGATTTCTTTGCCAGTCCTGTCATGAAACAATTATGAAATGTCATGAAACGGTTCCTGCATGCATGGAGCAAATCCTTCCAGTTTCTCAGACCAATATCTACGCATAGTCTTCCTGGGAGCTTCTTGGAGAAGGAAATATTTAAAACCTCTCACAAACTAAACTCTGCACCCCTATCATAAATATACATGAAGTACTGCTCCAATATAAGAACACTTTCATCTTTTCCAGGGCAAAAGCCTGTAGTCTTCCTACAGCATGCTTTTCTAGGAGACGCTACGCACTGGATTTCTAACCTGCCCAACAACAGCTTGGGCTTCCTCCTCGCAGATACTGGCTATGACGTCTGGATGGGAAACAGCCGAGGGAACACCTGGTCTTTAAAACACAAGACCCTTAATCCCAGCCAGAAAGCGTTCTGGCAGTTCAGGTACTCTGTAGAAGGAGAATTACTCAAGATAGAAACTCCAAGGGTACTAGATATTTTCAGCCTCATGGTTTTTACCTAAAACAGCATCAGAACAGGGTCTACACCAACCAAGGAGAGTAAAGAACCAGATGAAGAAGGATGCTCACTACTACTCAGAGTTGGGAGCATTGGCAGGGGAAGAGATTTCAGACACTGGGAAATGAAAGAGGATGTTGAGGAAAAGGGAGACAGTACTGTGAGAGGAAGAGCAGATCCCTAGCCAGGACAGGCTGAGCAGCCTTGTCTAGAAATCTCTGATCTCTCACAGCTGCATTCAACCAAGAGAGAAATGTGTTTTGCATCCCATGCTGGTGAAAGCCCTGATTAAATTCAGTTTTTTCAGACATCAGGCAGCCTGGCAGCATGGCTGCGCCTCGCTACCCCCTGCCCCAGCTCAAGTAAGAATGCAGACAGAGTGCAACCTCTTCTTTCAGTGGGTTCTGCTTAGTGCAATGAACAAAACTGGCATTCAGTAGCTCACACTGTGATAGCCAAATTGCCTGTTGGCTTTTCATGTTTCTCCCCTGTAGCTTTGATGAAATGGGCAAATATGATATTCCGGCAGAGCTGTACTTCATCATGAATAAAACTGGACAGAAGGATGTATATTATGTCGGTCACTCTGAAGGCACAACAACAGGTAATGTCAGGACACTCACGGCTCACAACCATTTGTGTTCCTATCTGATCAGTAGGTGGGTCTCCCCATTGAATCAGTTGTTTTTCATGTTTGCAGAGAGCTAGCAAACACAGAAGTGCCTTCTGAGCTGAGAGTTGCAAAATATGCAAAACTTTTCTAAAACCAGCTCTGGTTACCATTAATAAGCAAAGAAATCTATTAGCAAAACAAAATATAGTTCATCTTCTCAAATAAACAGAGATATAAAAGTGATTATTTACTGGGTACTTCAGATACTGCTACTGAATATTTTTCTTAAATTCTCAGCAGCAGGAAATTTC